GGTTTCGTCAGGATCGTCATTTGACGAAACCTTTCGTCAATTCAAAAATAGTTTCGTCAAGCATCTTTAGTCGACTTCCTATAAGTTAGAATCACTTGGAGAACGTTAAATAAGATCTCATTTAAAAGATTAACTATGAAAATCGGCTGTATTTATCTAATCTTGATGTTATTATAACCAATACAGAAATGGTATCAATCAGCTAAAGAGATCTCTCGTTTTCTTGTCTTTATTAAATATTTTGATCCATATACACAATCATTGGAGTATGTAAATTTAAACATATGTAATATTTACTAACATAGAATTAAAAGTTTACTTGCGATGAAAATTAATATAACACTTGTTTTACTTGAACAGAAGCTTAGGTCATTTATATGTTCAGGAATTTGGTAAAGTTAGTGACATTCTTTGCAAGAAAAAGAATTTCCCACCAAATACACCTTTGACGTTATATGAAGTAAGTTATTCTTGTCTTATAATTTGCCATATACTTTTATTTAATATATACATTCTAAAATTTAGGAAATTAAACCAAGTATGATTGAAAAAATGATGCCAAAATTTACTTTTAAAAAGTCTGAAATACAAAATGGTGATATAATATGTTTTCAAAGAATATTAACGCAAAATGAGTGTGTTATTTTAATGATTTAATGTTAATACGTAATCTGATTGGATTTGCAACAATGAGTGTATTTAAAAATATTATACTTTATAGGATTCAAGAACATGAAAGCGCTGGTCGCATACATAGTATTCCTGAATTTTACGAATCATTGTCAACGAATATCATCATTCATTTCAAGTCAAAATTTGGTTATCGAGATCCAAAGCCTGAATTCAATTTAGTATTAAATAAGAAAATGCGATATGATGCCGTGCGTTGAATTTTTTGGGTTTATCTTTTGTAGATTACTTTATGTAACATTAATCAATCTAATTAAATCTTTTATATTAATACTTTTAGGTTGCAAATCAAGTCGCTGCTCATCTTGACACAAATCCTCTGAATTTACGCTTCACAACAGTACATTTATCCGGAAAGCCAAAGCATGAGATTGACAGAAAGACAGATCAAACATTATCTGAGATACTTCAATTTTCGACATGCTTATTTTACGAAATACTAGATTTATAAACATTTTTTGTTTCCAAAACTTGACAAATATTTCAAATATTAAAAAAAAGAATAACATTTGCAGAGTACGTATATTATTAATAATAGTGAATTCAACATAGTGAAAATATTTATTAACTGTATAATTACATAAACAGCTCTTATTAAGTACTACCAATTGCGCTAGCTGGGTGATCTTTATTAATGACTATTTTTTTTGTATATAGAATGTAGATATTGATTAAATGAATTATAATAACTAATATAGATACATTGTCGTTATATTATTAATTTAACCTTTGATTCGTGCCGCATTACTTATTAAATATGTGTTATAATTTTTAATATTCAGTTTACAATTATTTAAATGCATCATTCAGATATTAGAAAGCAACATATATTGTTTTGCAATTAAACTTGTATACTAAACATGTTGAGGTATCCCATCATGCTTTATTCTAATTAAAGTATCCTCTAATAAAAATTATGGTTTTGCAAAATTTCATTATAAATCATTCTTACCTAACATCACACAGAAATCCGTAAAATTCCATTAAATTCATTATTTTTTAAAAAATTTCCATCTAAAAAGTTAGAATTCCA